GGAATTGGCATGCAATGCTAGTGCTATGCGAATGGGTAAGATGAGGAGGAGAAACGGGGGTGAACCCCTCCACGCGCATCTTCAGCCATCCTTCTCCCCCCACCATAATCAGCATCCCTACCCCTCGTCGTGGAAAGAAGGGAAGGACGAGCGAGCGCGAGGAGGGGAAAGGGGGGGGACGGTGATGACGAGGATGATGGCGAGAACGGCGATGAGTATAAGAATGGGGATGAACGGGGAGGAATCGAGAACATGGTGGATATGATGGAGCAGTGAATGCATAAGATGAAGGATCCAAAATGACTCGTTTTCGTCCGTCCCCGTCATCGACAGACCTCCTCTTCAGAGAAGAGACGGGTGAGTTTGCGATCGTAACGGGAGCGAGCGCGAGTAGGAGGGAGGAGGCGGGTGACTATGACGATGATAATGGTGGTTGTGATCAAGATGATGATTATGACGCTGATGATGATGGGGATAGGGGGTGAGAAAGGAGGAATCAGAGAGGAGGCCGTTGATGGCATGGAGGATTTGCTGGGGAGAAATCCGAGGTGACGTGCGGTGGATGCGACGCATTATGCCCCACCTTCCATCTCCACATACCGCATCACCACGAAACGGATCATGAGAGATGCAACGGGCGGAAGACTGAGAGAGAGAGAGAGAGAATCACTCCCATCCTACCCCCCCCCTCCCTCCCGTTGTCGTTATCCTATTCCTCCTCATCCTCCTCCTCCTCGTACTCCTCCTCCTCCTCCTCCTCCTCCTCCTCCTCCTCCTCCTCCTCCTCCTCCTCCTCCTCCCTCTTCCACGGTTCCCTCTCCCTTGTCTTCCCTCCTCGGCGGTCAGATTCCCTTCTCCCCCTCCCCCGTGTCCATCTCCAGTCTTGCTTCCTCGTCCTCGCACACTCGCCCACTCGGAGGACGAAGGGGGGGCGGGTGGGGGCGGGGAAGGGGGGGTGGAGGGCGAGAGGGAGTCGACTCCACATCGATCTTGTTCTCATCATCGCCATCCTCGTCCCCCCCTCCCTCCTCCATCGCCTCTCATCCTCATCGCGCATCCTCCTTCATCGGGGGGGGGGGCGAAGAGGCGCATGGGGCAGGGATGGATGGAGGGGGACGTTGACGAGGAGCAGGAATACTCGATCAGCTGCTAGTCGCCCCATCTCTTCACCCGAGGATGCGGAGGAAGAGGGAGAGCAACAAACGACTACGAATACGATTACCCCAGTGCGACCCTACCTAGAAGTTGGAGCCCCTAGGAAAGCAGCATTAGTGGCTATGCTATGCTATGCTATGCCATGCTATGCTGCGCTATGCTATGCTATGCTATGCTATGACATGCTATGCTATGTTATGCTATGGTATGCTGCGCTATGCAATGCTATGATATGCTACGCTATGATATGCTAAGCTATGCTATGTCATGCTGCGCTGTGCTATGCTAAGCTATGCTATGATGCGCTATGCTAAACTGCGCTATGCTATGCTATAGTATACTATGATATGATACGCTATGCTATGCTATGCTGCGCTATGCTATGCTGTGCTGTGCTCTGCTATGCTAAAGCTCAGCGAAGCTAAGATGAAGGTAAGCTAAGCTAAGATAAACCTGAGCTAAGATGAAGCTAAGCTAAGCTAAGATGGCATAAGCTAAGCTAAGATGAGATAAGCGACGCTAAGCTAAGGGGACGTAACTGGGGGAACCGCGGGGCGGATACTGGGGGAACCGCCCGGGGCGCTTTCCACTGCCCGGCCCCTTTAAGCCCAGAGAGTAAGAACCCTTCTAGGCAGAGCCTAGGTAGGGAATAAAGACGAGGGGGTTGGCGGTGATGAGCACACTCCAGTGAATCTTGCATATTGTCACCGTCATCTTCATTATTGTCATCACCAGCCCTCTGAATTATCATGCGCATTTCTCCTCCTCGGGGGGGAGAAAAAGAACCCAATGAGGACAGTGGAACGGGTGGAGGAGGACCAGGATGACCATGATGGCGATTATGATCAGTATGCGAAGGAGGAGGACTGGAAAGCAGGAAAAGGAAGAGAGGGGAGAGTATGAAGATCGAAAAATGAAAGGAACGAGGGGGGATTAACAAAACATGTTCTTTGGGATGGAAGTTCAAACATCATATCATGACTAGTCGCTCTTATCTGCTCGACTGCCATTACACATGCATATCCCAATCCCTCGATACCTGCCCTCTTCGTCTTCGAAAGCACCCTCCAGTGGGGGTAGATCTTCCTTGCCTGCCATGCGTATTTGGCGCAGCCCCTGAAACAGGGAAGGAGAGGACGGACGGAGGGAAGGGACAAGGGAGAGGGAGAAGGATGGAGCACGAGAGAGATTACAGTCGGACCTAGGACAGAAGAACATCCTTCAAGAACATGAAGCCCTCTGTCGGCCAAAACACACAGAACATCCACGGGTACCCTCTCTCTGGGATGCACAGGAACATCCGACAAAAACGAAGAACACTAGGGCACCCTCCCCGAACCGACCTCGATCTTAGACCTCGGTCCGACTGTAGTAGGAGGGAAGTTTCGGCGGTGGCCAAACCTCCCTTTAGTAAACCTCCCCTTAGTGAAAACGGCCTGGGACCGAAACCGACGGACCAGGACCCACAGAAATGACGGCCGCGGCGCCCTCTCGCGAACCGAAAACGGCCAATTCCTTGATCGACGGGTCAGGGTAGGAGGTCTGTCCACCTCCGAAGGTCAGGAGCGGGGACACGCGCGGCGGAGTCGGACGGGCAGATCGGGCGGGGAAGACCCGAAGATTAAGTCGGGCGTGTCCCCCTACAGGGGGATTTTCAACGAAGCATAAGGAACATCACAAGAATAGTCCAAAATGGTTAAAAAAATACTCAAAAAATAGTCCCCAGACTATTTTTGAACTATCTTTGAATATTCCTCCTGGAGATGGACGGGCCCGACTTAGGCCTAGGGTGCGGCGCCTGCCTCAATGAACTGCGAGGAAGTGGCCCGCGAGAGCGCGAATCCTGAATACACTATGAGCACGGCGAGCGAGACCCCCGCGAGAGCTCGATCTGGCACAGACCGTGAGGAAACGTGAGGCGGCAGCCGTTGTTGTAGTTCGGGGGCCAACAGCGCAGCCTGAGCCTCACGACTTTCCATTGTGACAAACAAGGTGCGAGCCCCAGGAGGGGCGCTTCAAGTAAAAAACACAATGGGCACCGGAGGGGGGTCAACCATGAACATTTTTCAGTTCAGATGTGAGTCAACAATAATTTCAAAACTGATCGATCTCATCTGCTCGTGTGTCGTTCAACATGGAAATCCCATCCCCTTGATGCCCGCACTCGTCGTCTTCGAACGTACCCCTTTGCGGGGAATGTCTTTCTTGCCTGCCACGCGTCTCTGGCGCGCCCCTGAGACGGGAAGGGGAAGGAGGGCCCAGAAAAGAGGAGGGCGACGAGGCAGGGAAGCGCTGACAGGGAGGGAGGAAGGAGAGAGGGCGGGGAGGAGAGAGAGGCGGACGGAGGACGCGAGAGACTGCAGCGGGAAGGGGAGGGCGGAGCAGGAGAACGGAGATCGGGGATGGACAGACCCCCCTTTTAGCAAAACGTGGTTTAGTGAAAACGACCTGAGGCCCAAACCTGGCGGGCGCAAGCCTTGAAAACAACGGCCGCGGCGCCCTCTCGAGAACCGAAAACGGACAATTCACCAATCGACCTGTCACTGCTGGGGGTTCTGTCCACCCCCGAGGAGAGCGGACCCAGGCGGGCGAGCGGCCGGGCGGGCGGGGCGGACCCGGGCGGGCGGGGCGGGCCACGGCGGGCCACGGCGGGCGCGCCAGACGGGCGGGCTCTCTCTCTCTCGGACGGGCGGGCCGCGCGGGCGGAGCACTGGACTCGTCCGGGGCAGGGCGCAAGCAGATCCGCTGGCCCCCTGGGGGTCCTCGGCGTGCGAAGTGCGTCCCCCTCCCCGGAGCCCCCCCCCCCCGGGGCCCGGTCCGGTCGGCTTGGAGGGGGGGGGGTGTCCGGCCGGCCCCGGGTGAACGCGCCACGGCCCTCGCGACGGGCCACGAGCGCCCCAGGAGGCCCACAAGGTGGTCCAGGAGTTGAAGGTCGCTGGGGGGGCAGCGTTGGTCCCAGGGCCAGATCCCCGTACGCTCGGCGGGCGCGCTTGATCGGTCAACAGCAATCCTTCCAGCCGCCCGTCGCGAGAAGCTCTGATTTCAGGTTTGCTCTTGCCGATTGGGCTGCTCATGCTTGCTCTTGGCCTACAAAAGCATTGCCATCTCCCCCGTCGCCCCAGAAACACAGATCGCGTTCGCTGCCCCTCAGCGAGCTTCAATCCAGGAGGGCCCCCGGTCGCCGATGGATCGCTCCAAGACGCCCAAGATGGCCCCCAGACGGCCCAAGAGATTCTGGGGCGAATCACACGGAGATCTTTGTCGAGATCGCGATTTCTCGGTAAACTGCGAGGGCGTCCAGAGCGAGAGCGCCGTTCCCTGGCGAACTGCAAGGAGGCCCCTGGCGCCCCAGCGAGAGCACGATGCCTCAACAGAACAAGCAAGGACCGTCTTGAGAGTGAATCGTCAGGAACTCCTGGGCGAGAGCGCGATTCCTGCATGTTGATGGCGCGGCGACTGTGCAAATTGCTAGAAAAAATCCCACGCGAGAGCGCGATTCCTGGGCAAATTGTATGGAAGTCCAGCGCGAGAACACGATTTCTCAATAAACTGTGAGGAAGTATCGGCTGGGAGCCGTTGCTGTTGTAAACCACGGGGCGACAACACAGTCTGAGTCTCACGATTTTCCGTTGTAGAAAGGGTACGAGCCCCAGGAGGGGCACATCAATTCGAAAAAACAGAAGGTGCACCACGGGGGGGATCAACAATAACGATTCTTCAGAAATCAGAACTGAACGAACAAACAGAATCTGGCCCACCGGATCCGGCTTCGCCCACGCACCCAGGGACGGTGTGAGACCGTTCGGCCACCTCACTCGGATCAATGGCGCGCTACCGCTTGTGGC